CTCTGCCTTCTAACCACAAAAAGTCAGAGATGCTCTAAGCAATCACTTGAGCTAATTCACACTGACTTATGTGGGCCAATCAAACCAGCAGCAACAGGAAATAACATTTATCTATTATCTTTCATTGATGAATTTTCAAGATATACTGTGTGTTATTTGCTGAAGGAGAAATTGCAGACTGAGCAGAAGCTGAGAGATTACATTGCCATGGTTTCGAACAAGTTCAGTGGAATAACCCAGGTCATCCAGTCTGCCGTGGTGGTGAACAATGTTCCCTCTAAGCTGAGATTGTGAGCTAGCTCACAGTTTTTTAGCCTCCAGCTCACACATTTTTGTCTTAGCTCAGGAAGAATGGCTCCAGAGCAAACTAATTTATGCAGTAGCCAAATTGTTTGCTCACAACTTTAATGCCAGTAGCTCACAAAAGTAGAATTTTTGCTCACAAGACTCCACAGCTTAGAGGGAGCATTGGTGGTGAGTACACATCTAGACCAGTACTGGCATTCCTAAGGGAAGATGGAATTCAACACAGACTTATAGTACCCTACACACCAGAACAGAATGGGGTTGCTGAGCACAAGAATTGCTCTACAATAGACATGGTCAGATGCATGCTGATTGACTCAGGCCTTCCCTATGGGCACCAGGGAGCAACTCCAATGACTGCAGTTTACTTGCAAAACTTGCTGTACTCAGTATCACACTTTTATGTCTGGGCAAACTCTACTATAATAACCAAATATCCCAATAGTAAGAAGAGTATTTAGGTGAGATTGAATGAAAAAGTTGGCTGAATCTAACCCTGTTCAATGCATCTATACAATGTGTGAGTCACAAGCCAAAGTACTTAACATCATCCAAAGGATACGGGGGGGGGGGGGACACTTGGCTGGATCTTCATTGTAAGGAATGTTTTCCAGCAGTATCATGATGCCCAAGTGATTATTTACAGAAGAGTAGTCATATTACCTTTGCTGGAATGGCTGACTTCAATATGCAATAAAATACCAGCCAGAGGAGAGAGAAAAATCACACACACAATTTCTAAAGGATGACTAATAGATACATATATACAACTAGGTTGCTTTGTCATTTCCTTCAAAAGAAATCTGAACCATAATCACAACAGTTTAGTTGCTAAGGTCTTATTTTTTACAGGGAGTCAAAGTGAGTCACTTCTGCCTGCACAACAGAAACCAATATCAAGATGAGTGCAGCAACATTTGAAAGTATGCTTATTAGAATGATCCTATTATTTTTTTCTAGTATTCATTGCATCAACGGCATTCAAAATATTTATGAAGTAGCTTCTTATAATAGTTGACAAGCTTCAGATATACCTGTACCCATAAATCCTGCTTGTTTTCTCTCTCTTAAGTGACAGTCTCTCAGGAAATGCTAATAAATAATACATTTAGAGGCACAAATAGTACACTGATTTTGTTCATTTTACAATATGAGTAGTCTTTGACAAGATTCATGAGAGAACCAAGAAAGTGGGTACAGGAGCACAGCACTCTAAAAGGTTTTAACCTCCACATTTTGTGTTCTCATAATTTTTTTAAAAAGCTCTCAACAAAAAAAGTGCTCAGGCTTCATTAGCCCTAATTTTCTATGCATATAGGGGACATCTTAATTAGTTTTGTAATAACCTGAACAGTTTCTTTTTGCCAGTAGAAGGAGCACACCAAATCATCACAGCATGGATAGGAACAGAGTTTTTAAGTTCATAGGCACATCAATTCAGTGAAGTAGAAATTTTTTTATCATTAGCAACATCTGAACTAAATGGCATTCTTGCAGACAAGAAAAGATTTGACCTTGCCTCCATTAACCCAACCACATATTTTCCAAGAGAGTCCAAGTAAGGTTTACAAACCAGGATAACAAATATGGATTTGAATTGCATTAATCAAACATATGTTCTGAATCAGAATAAAAATTATTGTCAACATTCAGATGTGAATAGAAACTGTCTGATCTGATAGTTATACTGATTCTTTACTGCCTGTTCTGCATTTCCTGGGCAGTAAGGAGCTGCGGTGGCTCAAGTGGTTAAAACGCTGAACTGCAGGCTGTGAAAGGTCGGTAGTTCAGCAGTTCAAGACCCGAGTTGCCGCATGACGGAGTGAGCTCCCGTCTCTAGTTCCAGCTCCTGCCAACCTAGCAGTTGGAAAGCAAGAAATTGCAAGTAGATAAATAGGTACCACTTCGGTGGGAAGGTAACAGCGTTCCGTGCGCCTTGTTGTTTAGTCATGCCGGCCACATGACCACGGAAATGTCTTCGGACAGCGCTGGCTCTTTGGCTTTGAAACGGAGATGAGCACCGCAACCCTAGAGTTGGATTCGACTGGCTTTCGAGCAAGGGAACCTTTACCTTTACCTTAAGAGATGAAACTATCAGCAAAGAGAGAAAGAGAGATTCAGCAGGTATGTGCCTGACAAGGGTGTCAGCCAATCAGAACAGTTAGCTGTTTGGTGTAGTGGTTAAGTGTGTGGACTCTAATCCGGGAGAACCAGGTTTGATTCCCCTCTCCTTCTCTTGCAGCTGCTGGATGACCTTGGGCAAGCCATAGTTCTGACAAGAGCTGTCATTGAAAGAGCAGTTCTCTCACAGGGGGTCTGTTGTGGGGAGGGGAGGGGAAAGGAGTTTGTAAGCCACTCTGAGACTTCAAGCAAAGGGCGGGGTATAAATCCTACTACTACTACTCCTCATCTGATTCTTCTCCTACCAATCACAACACTCAGTGTTTCTGTCCTGTCACAAGTACTGTAACACTGGCTTTTGGAAAACCTGAGTTATTTGGGGTTCTTTATTTTATTTTAAATAATTGTATTCATGGTAGAATGAAATATAAATGACTTAAGCCATTCACATAAAAATCAAGGGGCTCTATTTTTAAAACAAAGCCAAACTACATTCATGAAGAGAGCTAATTAACTGCTTAGTTGTTTGCAACATGCTTTCTCATGGAAGAAATATGCTGAAAGAAATTGAGTCCAGAGAGGAAAGTAATGGGAGGGGCAGGGGGAATTTCCCTTCACAAACATGTTCCGTTTTTCAAGATGAGTAGCCATATTTTTTTGTCTCTAGCTGTAGAAAAAAGCCAGATTCTAGTAGCGTCTTAACGACTACCAAAATATGTGTCAGAGTATGAGCATTTGTGAGTCAATGCTGAAGAAGTGAGCAGTGACTCATGAAAGCTCATATCCTGCCACATGCTTTGTTAGTCTTTAAGGTGCTACTGGACTCTTGCTCTTTTGTAATGTTCCATTTTTCTATAACCCCACCCTCACTTGAAGATCTTAGGAAAAGATGGGAAAGAGGGGGAAACTCACATCAGTTCCTGTCCTCCATTTATAAAAAATAATCTTAACATTTTATAAAACAGGGATTCTATCTGTCCATAAGTTTGGATAGAAGATTCATTGGATGAGGGGTACATTCCCTGAGAACTTGGGAGTCATCTCTGGAATTGTGTTTCCCATTGAAACAAGTATAAATTAGTCAGATTGATTTTCTTTTCTAATATGGTGTGAGACTCCCTGTACTCCCCTCCCTCTCCAAGTGAAACCTGTTTATGGGAAGGCCCACGAGTCCTCAGTTGAGAGGGGAGGTGGTCATGCCAATTTGTTCCTCCCTGATTTCCATGACCACTGTAATGTATTCAGATGCTGCCATGAATGCATTAGATGTAACGTGAAACATCTCATTGGGAAGCAATGTAAAGCTTCGTCTTGGACAGGGATTCAAGTCCAAGACAAATGCGTCCAATCACATTCAAGCAAGCTGGAAGCAGGAACGTGTGTGATTGGTCCTTATGCGATCAACCTGATAGGTTGTTATCTGTAAAGTAGGAGTGGCTATATTAGCTGGGAATGTTTAAATACCGAGCAGTTTCAATGGACAAACTGTTCGGGCTATCAGATGTTGTACCATGTTGGAGAAGTGATCATGAAGAGGAATAAACTTGAGTTTTGGCTGAAATCACTCTCTGACTCTTTGTTAAGCTCCGGACTTAACAATTGGCGACGAGGATGGGATACTAGTGCGGGTAGGCAGCCCCGCTGGTCCCAAACTCACGACGGACAACAACGAGCAGCAGCTCTCCGTGGCCGATCAGCAACGGGCACCACCAGCTCTGGTGGCAGCGATTGCACAGATGGCCAATAGCCCGAAGTTCGAGCCATTCGAACCAGCGACCGAGGACTGGGAAGCCTACCTGGCCAGGTTCAGTTTCCACCTCGAGGCGCATGATATCATGACGGAGGCGAAGAAGCGGGCAGCCCTCCTGAGCTCTTGTGGTAAGAGCGTGTTTGATATTGCCCGGTCCCTGGTGGCGCCAGCGGACATTAAGACCGTTTCGTTCAAGGACCTGACCGAGAAGCTCCAGGCGCATTTCTCCCCGCAGCCATCGGAGATTGCGTGCTGGCATGCCTTCTACAAGAGGGGTCAGGCTTCCAACGAATCGGTGGCAGAGTATGTGGCGGCCCTACGAAAAGCTGCGAGACCCTGCTACTTCGCCGATGTGGAGAAGGCCCTCCGTGACCGGCTAGTGTGCGGCATGCGAGATGAACGACTGCAGCAGCGGTTGTTCGCAAAAAAAGAGCTGACCTGGGCGGACGCCTATACAGAGGCCATCGCCGCGGAAGCAGCCGACAAGTCGACCCGAGAGGTGCGTCGGCGTTTGGCGGCTGCCGAGCTGTGCGTCCACCACCAGGGGGCCGACAGTGAGTGCGAGGGCGGACAAAGTGACGTCTGCATCGTAAAAGGGCGAACGAACAGGCGGACCGCAGTGAAGACTCCGATCAGCCCGGCCTGCACCGGTTGTGGCGGGAAGCACCTTCGAGAGCAATGCTGGGCCAAGGACGTCAACTGCTGAACATGCGGTAAGAAGGGCCACATCGCTCGTGTTTGCAGGGCACCCAAAGGTTCCACGCCAACAGCATCTCCCCGGAATCAACGTTCACGAGCAGCACACTGTGAGGACAGCTGCCAGATGACTCCGAGGCTATCATCCAAGCCTTCGGTTCGTCGCGTCGGAGGAACAGGGAAGATCCACGTGACCGTCAGCCTCGACGGAGTTCCCTGTTGTATGGAAGTCGACTCCGGATCATCCGTGACCATCCTGTCATCCCACACGTGGCAGCGGCTGTTCCCGACCAGAAGCCGGCGGCGTTTGAAAGCCGCAGATACACAGGTGTCCGATTTTCAGGGGAAGCTCATTCCTCTGGCGGGGAGGGATACCTTTACGGTTGAATTTAAGGGCAAGTGTGCTGAGCTGTCTTGTCTAATTGCTGAGGGAAACCGAGTGAACTTACTCGGATTAGAGTGGTTTGAATCACTAGGTATAGCAATTACCGGTGTGAACGCAGTATCGGAAAATAAATGGTCTGTATTGTATAAAGATTTTCCTGATGTGTTCGGGGGTGGTCTTGGAAGGTACAAGGGGCCCCCAGTGTCTTTTGAGCTCGATCCCTCTGTGACCCCAATCCGTTTGAAATACCGGAAGGTGCCTATTCCGCTTAGGCCAAGGATCGAAGCTGAGCTGGACAAGCTCATTGCCCAGGGAGTGTTGGAACCAGTCCCATTTAGCAAATGGGAAACTCCTATAGTCACGCCTATTAAGTCAGACGGCTCTGTGCGTATATGCGCTGACTATAAGTGTACGATAAATCGTGCCTTGCAGCAGCATTCATACCCCGTCCCAGTTATCAGCCATGTCTTGGCATCCCTGGGAGGGGGAAAGGTGTTTGGAAAATTCGACCTTGCCCAAGCCTACCAACAGCTGCCTGTGACCAGAGAGGCGGCTGAAACACAAACCATCGTCACCCACAGGGGAGCTTTCAGGGTGAACCGTCTCCAATTCGGTGTGAATGTTGCCCCGGGTATATTCCAGGGGTTGATGAAGGGGTTGCTCAGGGGGGTGCCTGGAACAGTTCCCTACTTTGATGATGTGCTAATAGCTGGGGGGTTCGATGAGGAGCTCATTGGCAGGGTCAGGGAAGTACTGAAACGCTTCGCAGAAGCTGGCCTCAAGGTAAAGCAATCAAAATGCATCATTGGTGTCCCCAGTGTGGAATTTTTGGGGTTTAGGATTGATGAGCATGGTGTCCACCCCACTGATGACAAGGTGGAGGCAATTAAGAATGCCCCACAACCCCAGAACAAGAAGGAGCTCCAGGCATTCCTAGGACTCCTTAATTTCTATCATGCCTTCCTCCCCCACAAGGCATCGGTAGCGGCCCCGTTGCATGCCCTACTACACAAAGATGCAAAATGGTGGTGGGGCACAGAACAGGAACGGGCGTTCGAAGGGGTCAAAGCGTTACTGGATTCAAATGCAGTGTTAACGCACTATGACGACCAAAGGTTGTTGGTATTGGCTGCAGACACGTCTCCTTTTGGGGTGAGGGCGGTGCTCAGTCACGTAATGCCAAATGGGAAGGAAGCCCCCGTTGCGTATTATTCTCGATCCCTGTCAAGTGCGGAAAAGAATTACGCACAAATCGACAAGGAAGGACTAGCGCTTGTCTCTGCCGTGAAGAAATTTCACGATTTTTTGTATGGGCGCAGATTCCTGCTTGTAACTGACCACAAGCCCTTGTTGGGAATATTTGCCCCGGACCGGCAACTTCCCAACATCATGTCAGCCCGCATGCTGAGGTGGGCTCTATTTCTGTCTGCCTATGACTATGACCTGGAACACCGGCCGGGTAAAGCTATTGGACATGCAGACGCACTGAGTCGCTTCCCTCTGCCCGGCCAGGACTCAGACCCGGCTCCAGCTAACGAGGTGTTAGCAATCGATGAACTGGTCCAAGCCCTGATTTCTTCAAAGGACATTGTGGTTGCATCTGCTAAGGACATTGGAATCTCCAGAGTCTTGAACTGGGTTTGGAGGGGGTGGCCTGTGGGGTCTGTGGAGCCGGAGTTTAAAAGTTACAAAATGCGCCAAAACGAACTATCAGTGTCCAAGGGATGCTTGCTGTGGGGAAACCGGGTGGTGGTACCTCACAAACTAAGACAAAAGGTGCTGGAATCACTTCATGAGGGCCATCCAGGCATGGTCCACATGAAAGCGCTAGCCCGCGGGTACGTGTGGTGGCCCGGGCTATACGCGGACATAGAGGAATGGGTTCGGGTGTGTGAGCCATGTCAGCAGGCTAGGCCTGAACCGCCAACCGCTACTCCGCAAAGATGGGAGTCGGCAGGAAAACCCTGGTCGAGGCTCCACCTCGATTTTGCAGGGCCAGTACAGGGGCAAATGTTCCTGGTGATTGTAGACACCTATACAAAGTGGTTAGAAGTGGCACACATGCGCTCTACCACTTGGAGTGCTGTCGTCACTGTGCTGCGCCAGTTGTTCGCCACTCATGGGCTGCCAGACGTACTCGTGAGTGACAACGGCGCACAGTTTACTTCTGAGGAGTTCAGAAAGTTCTTGTCTGACAATGGCATCAGGCAAATGACAGCAGCCCCGTTCCACCCGGCCTCAAACGGCCAGGCGGAAAGAATGGTAAGAACAACAAAAGAAGCCCTTGCAAAGCTGGTATGTGGTGATTGGGGGGTGAAACTTGCATCGTTTCTGTTAAGGCAGCATGTTACGCCTTGTTCTGCAACTGGCCGCAGCCCGGCCGAAATGTTAATGGGGCGCCGTCTCGCTACCTTACTGGATAGGTTGCACCCGGACCTAAATGATTTAAAACCCCAACAGCAGTGTGAACAACCTAAGGTCCGAACATACGAAAAAGGTGAGTAAGTGTTTGCTCGGAACTATGCCAGTGGTCACTCGTGGCTCCCAGCCACTATTACTGATGTAATTGGTACAAGAATGTATGTGGTACGACTTGCAGATGGACGCAAGTGGCGTAGGCACATAGACCAGCTGAGGCAGCGGTGGGCAACTGACCGTTCCACCATGCAGCCGGCTGAGTCCATAGAACCTGAGGACTTCCCACGACCTTTAGAAGAGGTGAGTACTGAAGAGCCTGAGGGCCGCAGTACTGGTCAAGAGGCAGGGCAGACCCCTACTCTTGAACCGACAGTAACCGACAAGAATGTTCCTGACTCTGAGGTCCCAGAGTCAAGCGGAGTGCCACTGAGTGAAATGTGCCCTGAACCTATCCCACCTCGTAGGTCTCAGAGAACGCGGCGTGCACCTACCTACCTAAGTGACTATGATTGTTCCTGACTGTATTTGCTTAGGGGGGAGGGAATTGTAATGTATTCAGATGCTGCCATTAATGCATTAGATGTAACGTGAAACATCTCATTGGGAAGCAATGTAAAGCTTCGTCTTGGACAGGGATTCAAGTCCAAGACAAATGCGTCCAATCACATTCAAGCAAGCTGGAAGCGGGAACGTGTGTGATTGGTCCTTATGCGATCAACCTGATAGGTTGTTATCTGTAAAGTAGGAGTGGCTATATTAGCCGGGAATGTTTAAATACCGAGCAGTTTCAATGGACAAACTGTTCGGGCTATCAGATGTTGTACCGTGTTGGAGAAGTGATCGTGAAGAGGAATAAACTTGAGTTTTGGCTGAAATCACTCTCTGACTCTTTGTTAAGCTCCGGACTTAACAACCACCGACCGCTCCACTCCTGGGTCAGGGCATTCACCTCCTCACTGGCCAGACCAGGCCTTTCTTATGTACGCCTCCTCCTAGCCTGTCCCACCCCATCTTTCTCACCTCCAAGCTCATTTTGCCCACTCCCAACCCTACTAGATGGCTGCCTGACTGAGTGAAGGCTGGCAGTTACTCTGCCTCAGCTTCTGCTGTGTCAGCCCAGCCAATCCCATTTGGCTGTACTAAGGTCATGCCTGCCCCTTTGTTGTGCTTGCTGACTGTCAGGCCATGGGTCCAAGCTGTGCCAGTTCAATTGCTGCCTTGGACGTAGGGATGCCAGCCTCCAGGTGGAACCTAGAGATCCCCTAGAATTATAACTCATCTCCAGACTACACAGATCAGTTCCCCTAGAGAAAATGGATGCTTTGGAGGGTGAACTCTATGACATTGTACCCTACTGATGTTCCTGTCCTCCCAGGCTCCATCCCCAAATCTTTGGGAGTTTCCCAACCAGGATCTGGCAACCCTACCCCCCACACACACCAGTTGTCAGGGGACCTGAGAACCCTACTTGGATGATGCTGTTGCTGTGACTAATCCCTCCTTGTCCTACTGTGCCCCAGGAAATCAGAGAAGTGGCAAGCCACTGGAAATAATAATAATAATAATAATAATAATAATAATAATAATAATAATAATAATGATAATAATATTTCAATTTATTAATCGCTCAATCTTTCAGAGCTTGCTGGCTCTGAGCGATTTACAGTTACTCATTCACGCGGGACTAACAATGATCTATGGGGGTAAGGGAGGACAACATATATCTTTTAATCACACACATTCACAGTCGGCGAGGGTTTGTTCAGCTGCAGGGTCAGATGTGTTCTGTTGGCATATTCACTTCGGCTT